ACTCATTATTTGTGAATAGGGATGACCATTGGTNCCCCCCCCCCCCCAGTATTATGTCTACCAAAGGGAGACAATTATTGGGTTGTTAGTAAACTTATTGTTTTGCGGGGCTCCCTCAGTATTTCTTCAAATGGAGAAAATATTGGCTTTAACATAAAAGCTCCCAACCCCCACCTGTATCACCTTTAGGATGAGAGGGAGGAAAGAATCAGCGAGCTAATAGTTTCCCCCTGAGTTACTAATAGAGAGGGGGAAAGAATCAGCTAGCTAATAGTTTCCCCCCTAATTGCTTATACAGAGAGAGGGGATAGAATCAGCTAGCTAATAGTTTCCCCCCCTAATTGCTTATACAGAGAGGGGGGATAGAATCAGCTAGCTAATAGTTTCCCCCCTTAATTGCTTATACAGAGAGGGGGGAAAGAATCAGCGAGCTAATAGTTTCCCCCTGAGTTACTAATAGACAGGGGAAAAGAATCAGCTAGCTAATAGTTTCCCCCCTAATTGCTTATACAGAGAGGGGGGATAGAATCAGCTAGCTAATAGTTTCCCCCCTAGTTACTAATACAGAGATGGGGAAGAAATCAGCTAGACAATAGTTTCCCCCCTAATTGCTTATACAGAAAGGGGGGAAATAGTTCCCTCCCCCATCCACCCACAAATCAATGCCAAGGGGGTAGAGACCCAACCAGCCAGTAGTTCCCCCTCCTTAAAAAATCAATATCAGGAGGAAAATCTGCATGCTAATAGTTTGCCCCTCCCTTAAAATTAATACAAAAAAAAAAAGAGACGGAAAAAAATAAGCTAGTTATTCTTACTGGAAAGGAAAAATTGGCTAGTTATTTTCCCCAGGGGGAAATAATCAGCTAGCTAATTTCTTCCCCCGGGGAAAAAACTATCTTGTGGGGGAAAGAATCAGCTAGCTGATTCTTTCCCTGGGGAAACTTTCAGCGGGGGGGAAAGAAGTGGCTGTTACACCGGCCCTCTGCCCCAAGGGAGGCCACACCCACCATTTATACAAAATTGAGTCCCCTTGGCCCAAGGATGCTCCTGACTAAATTAGTATAAAATCCCTTGATCCCTCCGAAAGGAGAAGGATTTTGAAGGTTTTACCTATTACCCCTATTCGGCCCCACCCATCTGCCCCAAGGGGCGCCACACCCACAATTTATACAAAATTGAGACCCCTTGGCCCAAGGATGCTCCAGACTAAATTAGTATAAAATCCCTTGATCCCACCGAAAGGAGAAGGATTTTGAAGGTTTTACCTCTATTCCCCTATTGGGCCCTGCCCCTCTGCCCCCAGGGGGGGCCACACCCACCGTTTATACAAAATTGAGTCCCCTTGCCCTAAGGATGCTCCAGTCCAAATTTAGTCAAAACCTACTTGGCCGTTCAGGACTAGTAGCGTTTTAAAGGAAAAGTTGACGGACGGACGGACGGACGACGGACACTGCGGTATGGCATACTTCGGACCAGGTGAGCTAAAAATCAATGGAGGTTTTTGAGATGGGTGGATAAACAAGAATTGATGGATATTCAGGTGTTTGTTGTATATTCAGCTATTGATAGATGTTCAAGTTGATAAGAAGTCAGCTAGGGTTCTGTTGAGGGGTATTTCAGACTGATGGATTTTGACAGTTTGGGTAATATTTCAATTAACGAATCTTTAGGTTGATGACATGATAGCAAAGCAGGTCAACATCTGTTATCAGGTCGAAATTGACGTTAAGGGAGATGCAGGTCATTAGCTATTTAAATCTATGTAGTATCTATAATAGACTGTGAGAGATTCGGGTTGGTGGAAATTCAGGTTTGTCGATATTGCCAGAGAATCCTAACAGTGGTTTCAGACAATACCTGATGAAATATTCAGGTTGACAGTGCTTTCGTTTAACGGAGCTCATTAGAATACTGAATTATAGCATAAACAGATTTACTGAGCTGACCATGCCATAAATATTTATTACAATTTTATTGATGATTTCAACTGTTGAGTGTCTTCTGAGGGTGTGGCCACACAATCAGTGATAACAGCGGTCAGCGCTAAGGTCAGCTCAGGGAAACTTGCTTCTAAATCTGCATTTATTAAATTGATTAAAGATCCTTCTCCCATTCCAGGCCAAACATTTCAGAATTTCACTGTAGTTTTTGTACATACAGTAATTATAACCTCCACTAGGCTCCCTTTAATTTTGTTTTGAATATAACCATTACAGCGTGACTTGGCCAGAGTACCCCCATTGACCAGGTACATGTAGTCCAGTCAATTAATAAAGATCAGAGGTCAAGAGACCGAATCCTGATCTGGTCTTGTTCAATTTTTGAACTTAGAACATTTCTTTTTCAATTACCAGTAATCATTCTTTTTTTTTGTTTAAAAAAAAATTGTCCTGCATGATAAACGTTTTTTTTTTTAAATTCCATGATTCTTACTACTTCAGGGGACAAATTTTGTCAGAAAATCTTCCTGAAGAAGCCCACTGTTCTGGCGAAACCAGTAAACGTTACCAAATAAATAGAACCCAACTCATCCACAATTTACTTCCATATTTAGTTTACCCTATTCCTCAATCGCCTTGCATACCGGGTGGTTTATCCAAGCAAGGGGTAGTGGAACCAACCGAACCTAAATAAGAAAAACGCGTTGGCTCTATCTAATTTCCCTGGAACCTTGTTTACAGAAATGATATATTCAACCTTAGTCATGTTGGACAGGAAATTTTCAATGTATTTATTAGCAGTGGTACAGGGATCCTTAAGCTCAAAATTACATTGTCCATTCAGATGAACTATATCAATAAATCTTTTATAAATTAAAGGCACTTTCAGAAAACTTAAGTCTGTATGGCAATGAGTTATTCCTGGTACAGGTTCAGGGACCAGCTGTTAGCTTCAGGCCCACATAGTACTAGATTATAGTATAAACACACAATGTTTCATGTGACATTTTGTAAGATTGTTTTTTCTCTTTCTTTAAATTTTCCGACTGGTAAAGCATTGTTAAGTTGAGGAAAATCTCACCTTTGTGAGGGCACACGCGGGAACACTGAGACCATGAAATGTACAACAGATAGAGACTCTTCAGTGACCAGTTACTTGTTGTATGTAATAAACACAGGCAGACTTACAAATGTATTAATATTGATGAAATGTTTTCTCACATGGAGTAAATTGTAATGTATTATACACCAGTATATTAATTGAAATAATAATGAGTCTAATTGCTTCAAAACATTAAAGAACAACATAATTTCATATTAGAAATTTTTATACATGAACCAACTTCATACCAAAAATGAGAGGTATTAATGGTCATCTGACTTCATGGGATTGAAGAATGTTGAATAGATACTCTGTTTAATTCCTCAAAAAAGATACTCTGTTTAATTCCTCAAAAAAGATACTATGTTTAATTCCTCAAAAAAGATACTATGTTTAATTCCTCAAAAATTGAATTTCTTTTTATTAATGTACAGTATATGCTATTTGTATTAATTGTATTTCTATGTACTGTAAAGTGCTTTAGAGTGGCTTATGTTAGCTAGATAGGGCTCTATATCAAATGTTGTTTATTATTATTATCATTATTTAATCTGGTGGACAAACAGCAACACTTTTTCTGACAGCTGAAATCCTAGGAATTACTAACCAGAACATTAAGAACGAATTACTAACCCTTATCTTCCCTATTTTGTTCTGCTTCCCATCCCCTTAGGAACCCCATGTCCTTCAAATTCATTTATTTTAAATATAACATTTGATCCCCTAGTCATTCGGATGCCCCTCAGTCCCCAAGGGCTCATCCCTTCCATTTGTACAATTTTGATTCCCCACCACCTAGGGATGCTTACATTTAAATTTGGTTGAATTCTAATCGGCAGTTATGAAGAAGATGTTGTTTGAAGAAATTGATGACTGACGGACGCCACACCTCAAACCTTCGGACCAGATGAGCTAATAAACAAAACTGAATATTTGATGTGATTTTCAATATGGCAACAATGCCAGCCGTTGTGGATTCCTCATCAAAGAACACTTGGTCATATTCATCTCAGTAATGTTCCTGGGAAGATTCAGCTGCATTCTTATGATAGAATTTGAAAGATGAATTTGATAGACAATTTTAAAGATGGATGCCATGTCGGTCATCGTGAATTCCAGGCTGGCCCAAAAAATAACACTCCTAAACGCTCCTCATCATGTTAGGAGAAGTGGATCTGAGATATTTTCTTACTCTGTATATTTCTAATGACTAAATATAATTTTTCAAGTTGGTACTGTTTATTCACTGTGATGCTGACCACAATTAATTGGTGGAATAAGAAAACTGTGTTTAACTGTTTTGATACTTGATGCTCTGATTATTGATATCAACGAACTATACTCGATTTCGTTAAAACTGTAAGAGAAGTATGTTCAAAGTCCACTTAAGCTGTCCTTAGAACAATAATCAAAGTTGCTGCATCATGCAGGAGACAGAGTCTTAACAAAACATAAACATCTTCCTAGAGACAATTAGTAAAAACACATATAGACAGTACATGTAGAATTTTATTTGGTCATGTAGTTCCAATATAAAAAACCCATATAATATACCAGATGTTCTTGAACAGTTCCAACGAATATCACAGATTTTGTCAGGCATTTCCTGTCTTCATTTCATAACAACACAGATCAGTGATCTTGGTATCCAACTCACTTTAAGCTGGTTCTGGGTTGAACAATCGGTTTTGGTCCTTGTCGAAATATGACGTAATCTCAGCTAACACCGTCCTTTGTGTTGATGTTCTTAGTGTTATATCTGGAACTTGTTCTTCCGCATACAAGATGCTAATGTAAGTGTTTCACAGACTTAAACACATAACTTTAACAAACTGAGATCACAAACAGATTACCTTACTGTCTCTGTCCAGGTGTGAATAATGGCCAGCAGTATTTCATAAAGTATCTCATCGATGTAAGGGAGTTAACCCAATTATATCTCCCAAAACATCATGTTGGTAGCAGTCAGGTCACAAAGTCCTCCCGACTGTTACAGGCCAGACCCATCAAATGAGCAGACACCTGTCAACAAATAATTCAGGCTGGTAATCCAAATATAAATATCAATAAGTCAATTATAAATGAAAATCTGATACTGATCTCAATGGGACATATGTTGAGACACAAACTGAAAGGAATTTGATATGATTTTAATATTTCTCTCATTTCTCTTGCCTTATTTTGTCTTCTTTGGTGTCAAATTCACCTGAGAGTCATTATTTCAAAGCATGAACACTTAGCATACAAAAAAAAAGATTATTTAAACATAAGAAAACTGAAATGAGTTAATCTAGATTAAAAATACATAAGATAATCTCCAAATGAATCAAACTTTTCTTCAGTCATGAAAAGTTTCTCAATATCATCAGTAACATCCATATCTTCCACACAGATGGGGTGGGTGCTACAGTGCTGTGCTGTAACCTTATTTGAAGTTGCAATATGGAAAAGGGTGCTTTCTGAAGCATAATCCCACACAAAACAATCACCATTTCACCTCCAGCATAGTAAAGCAAGCATGCTGGTTGGTCGACAGGTTATACATCTACACTCCACTGACGAAGTCGGTGTTCGGTCGACGTGAAGCATGCTCACATCTACAGGTATTTATAGCTAGGAGCTTTAGAACCAGTGGATAGTACCTTATAAGGCAGCTACAGCAAGGTCCTCATATTGTATTGTTTGTATGGATAATGAATGGTATTTATTCTATATAAAATACATTATTTGAGCTAGATAGGATGTATCCTGCAATAAGCCCAGGAGGCCAATGTCTGCCTCAAAGTAAGAAGGTGGGCTTATTACAGGACAATGAATTAACAACTGTTATACTGAATTGTAAAGAGCGGGTTTATCACCAGGCATGGGCTTATAGCCGGATAAATACAGTATTGTACTTATTACACATAGCACAGGAGGAGAGTACCTACTTGATTCACTCTGAAGGCACAGGAGTGTCCACTGAAGGTTCCACTAAGGCAGAGGGAACTCCATACCTTTACAAAGAAACTGAAACACAAAAAACACAGGTTACTGAAACATTAAATGAAACATCCATATAACTAACTATAAAACAATGCCATGAGGATATTAGTTTTAGATGAACTTATTAATCTTCATGGGTTTTAATTTTTGAATTTGGTTCATAATGAATCACAGATTTTTTTATATCTACAAACATAATTAACCCTTTCACCACTGTAGACCCTAATGGACTCAACAAGATCAATGCATGGTAGAGTTTACTGAAGTTATATAGGGGTGAAAGGGTTAAGGGACTCTTAAACGATGTAACATTTAGATTTTGGTATCTTCAGATACTCTGACATGGTCAAGGGTGTACAACTCCACAGACCTGATGTTTTACTTGGGTCTGGTGAACATTTTCATTATTTGCTATGAAATTATAGAAACCTGAAATCATGTAACCTTTTCTATTACATGTAATTCAGGAATTCAGAAAAATGTGTCACAGTAATGCAAATTGAAAATTTTGTGATTTATACAGAAAGTATCAATTAAAATACCATTTTTAAAACATGATTTATTTCTATTTAGAAGATAGATGTTGCATTGTCATCTGAATACAAGCTGAAAATAAGTTTGGTTTATTGTTTGTTTGTGTTGTTGCTTTTTTTTTGNTTTTTTTTTTTTTTTTTTTTTTTTTTGGGGGGGGGGGGGGGGGTTGAATTTGAAAAACCTGTACCCTGATGTCTTTTTCTCACCTGTGTCTCACTCTTACGATGGCTTCGTTGTTTTCCTCCTCAAACTTCAGGATGTCTATGTTTTCAGTACTTCCCAGCTGAAACAATAAAATATCACAAAACATTTTTATATAAATACAAGTTTACGAATTTCAAAATGATTTTTTTTAGCTTTCATCAAATATCAGGATATCTGTTTTCAGTGCTTCCCAGCTAAAACAATGAAATATCACAAAACATTTTGATAGAAATACTTGATCAATTTATTTTGTCATTTATCAAATATATTAAAAAATAAGACACAAAATGTATATCAATTAGATAAGAATTTACTTACTCTATGTAAGTATTTATTGTACTCTAACTTTACTCATTACTCTATATGTATCCTATACAAACACTACAATATCTGCAACAAGTCATACATGTACCCTGTCGTTACAACAACTTTAAAATACCTCTCCTTGCCTAAACATTGATATAAAGCTTACCTCCCCAAATAGCCCCTTCATCGAGGTAACAATGGCGTGCTTCAGGGTGGAGGCATTAATTGTAAGAGACTTGGTCACAGAGGGATCCTGAAACTCCCTGTCAAAAATATGTAGCATGGTGTCTATGACTATTCAGAACAAATTGGATCGCCGATCATAACATTACTTATCAAGCTAATGGTCAGTCATGACAGTGTCAATAATAGATGTCAGAGTGATGAAGAAAAGATTTACAAAACAAATTTGTATGAACACAAGAAAATATCATCATAAATATATACACATGTATAAACCGTTAAGGAGCTGCCTGATAAAGTAAATGATACAGTCAACTCACAATCTAATTTTCATGTAACAGTGGGGCAAGGGCCCTTTGGTGACAATCCGTTTGTATGCAGCCATCCCAGTTTACTTCAGTGTTGTCAGCTGATTGATCTGAAGTAAAAAAAAAAAAGGACATAATAGGAGCATATGAAATCATTTCAATCTTATATAGTAGTTTAATTAATCTAAATTATTTCTTAGTGCACATTGGGTTTGGCCTAAATTTCTTTATAAGAATCCACTTACTTAGAATCATTGAAGTATAACACAGGAATCTTTACAATTTCTTTAAAAAAGAAATTATGATGAAATTTTACTGCTATTAACACACATTCGTTCAAGTCTATTAATTCAGCCTGCTAGTTGACTCGGACTGAACTTTTAACAGACATTGTTATGCTGTCTGTGCCATGGCACCTGTCAAAAACCTTCATGTGTTAACTTCCATTAAACTTGGACTGAACATTAATAGTGATTCTGTATCAGCAGCGTGCTTCTTACCTTGTAATTAATTATTAGATTCCAATTTTGTCAGCTGTGAAGTAATTTTAATTTTCTTTGATATACTTCATAGTTTTGTAATGGATTTTTGGAAAAGTCAAATGGAAAAGTAAAACGGTGTAAAATGGATCTTTGTATTTTTCTAATCTTAACCCTAGAGACCAAGATCAATGTCAAACCATTTACATGTAGGGTAGTTTGATTTTATAATTTTATTTTTTACAATAGTATGGTAGCTACTGTGGTACATATAATAAGAATGCTATATCAGGCTAATCAGCAGCAGTCATAGTGGCTTACAGAATATTTGAGTAATAAATTGTGGCATTTTTTTAATTTTTAGTTGATATCATTTTGGGACTTGTTGATGACTTGATATTAACTGAAGTTTAGTTAAGTTTATTTCTGGTTCAGGACTATTGAAATCCTCTATACCAGGCTCCAGCTTTCAAATAAATAAATAGATATATTTGTCAAATACTTCTATCCGGTATACATGTACTGTACATTGATGTCTACGATTTGACTGTTGCTTTGTAATTGAGGAAAAGATCTAGATTTTTCCAGTGATTGTCTAGCTTATTTTTAAAAGAATTAAAAGTTCTAATATACCACATATTCTGGCAGTTCATTCCAAATTGTCACTGTTCTGATTGAAAAATAGTTTTTTTTCTGAGCATATTTATAGATCGCTTGGGGAATATTTTGTTTGGTGTGATCTCTGCCACTGTGGCGATCAGCGGCTTCTTTCCATAGTTTAATGGCATTAAAACATTCATTATCATAAACTTGACTTATTATTTTGTGCAGTTCTATTATATCTCCCCTAATTCTCCTGAAGGCCAGTGTTGGTAGCTTTAGTTTCTCCACTGTAGGTCAGGTCCTTCAATCCCGGCAGACACTTTAAATGGCTCTTCGTTGAACTATCTTGTCAATGTGTTATTGGATATTATGAAAATATTCATCGATTTCCGACATCTTCTTCTTCCAATACTTTGCAATACCTCCCCTGGACTATTTTCGAAGATTACTTGTGTCACATGCCCATTGGGAAATTGTGTCGTTAAAGGAAACTGTATGTGTATATTTTATTTTATTTTACAGATCACAGGGGTTCGTGACAAATGACTGAAATACACATATATGCTATACGGATATCGCAATGGTCACAGCACAGTATGTTTATGTATGCTGTGACTCATGTCAGTATAACATATGTGTATTTCAGACATTTGTAACGAACCTCTGTTCCAGTGCTGTGACCCATATCAGTATAGCATACATGAAGATGTATTTCAAAAATTTGTAACGAATCCCTGTGCAGTTGCCGAAATCGACATCGAATATCGAAGTTAGGTTACAGAGGAATGGACGACATCGTTTAGGAATCATACAGTTGGCGCATTGGGTAACTCAAAGAAAACATCCGAACCATAGTTTCGCTGACATAGAAGAGCCATAACTCACCTACAGCAACGTTAGGAGTTGAACGTGTTTATTCTACATTTTCACTTCACTTCACGTGGATGACAGCTCTGGCTCTAACAGACGCTCCGAGATGAGAAACTGTTGGAGTAAAACATTTTTCCGACCACGTATTTGAGTTTTTGGGGCGGGAACCTCTATTTTGTATTGACCACGTGGTTTTGTTTACTTCCGGTATTTTGTCAGATCGACATGAACTTTAGAATGTGGAATGGAAAACGAAACGACAGCTTATTTCTACCATGATTGAGCTGAAGAAAGTGTGCAACCTGACCCAGGATGCTGCAAAATTCATTTCCAGTTGGCGACGTCAAAATAAGCTACCTCAAACAGATACAACTGGTAAAGTATCCACCCGACGCTCAGATGATGACATGTAAAATGAAAACATTGAATGTTATGCAATGACATATGATCTAAAGATCACATATTAATCTAGGTTACATGACTCGAATTTGTTGCACAATATATAACTGTAATAAAAGGATGTCCATATTATAATTTCCATTGATTACTTCAGCAATTTTATTTTCAGTTCTTACTTATAAAAAGACCAGATATATTTATCAATAATCGGTTTAAGAACCCAGTTTGATTTTCAATTTATTGAAGCAGATATCTGTACATTTATTGTCAGGATAGAGAGGCAAACGTCTGACAAGAGAAGTAACCCAAAAATGTAATTCCTTTTACATTAGCAACTTAAAAACTACAAATGTTTTAAAAGATGGCTGATATTTTGATAAATGTACATATTCCAATAGCCGCTGATATTTCAACCAATATACAGGCTTATACATTTAATGGTAGTTTTGTTTATTTCAGAGACACCTCGACTTTTGAATCAGGAAAAGGATGGAGTGATTCTATTTACATGGGACGATGCAACAGAATACAGCAAGGTTTTTAGCAACATTATTTAGCCAAAAAGATCCACTGATTCAGAGACGTATATATATACTACATATGACTTCATACGTCTCTGACTGATTCATGTCTTACAGCTTGTAATTGATTTATTGGTTACTTTGAATTTAAACTTAAAAACTTTAAAAAAAATAAAAAAAATGAGCTGTCTTTATTTCAATATATGATTATGACTTCCCTTTGTATTTATTATACATGTACATGTGGAGGTGAGACAAAAGTTGCCTGTATTAAATACCAGCACATGGACACTAGGTTGAAGATGCTGATGGATTTTTTTTTAATTAAATAAACTGTATACCTCAAAATACAACATGAAAAACAGAATGTCTTATATTAGCCTTTAAGCAGTACATGTATAAATATTCGGCCTTTGATGATACATGTATTGAGGTGTTTGATGATATTTTGGTCTGTGGCTGTCTGATATGCAGTATGATGATGATGGAAGTGGTGCACATATATCATATGATTAACATGCGAGATAGAGCCAACGTCAATGTTGAGTAGGTTGGTTGAGTAGGCGGGGTACTGCGCTGTGAGTGTGGATACCGAAAGGTATGCAGGGCGATTGAATAAAAAGTTGCATATAAATCTAGGTAGGTTTCAATCACAACACGCTCAAGCGTTACCAATGCATGGGTTTTTATTACGGTCAACTAGTTTCGACTCTATGTGCGAGTCTTCATCAGGACCCGATATTGATATTGTCCTGATGAAGACTCGCACATAGAGTCGAAACTAGTTGACCGTAATAAAAACCCATGCATTGGTAACGCTTGAGCGTGTTGTGATTGAAACCTACCTGGATTTATATCATATGATGTTACAATATTTGTAACGCATATAATTTTAAAAAAATAATGGTTGATGTTCACATATATTTTGTCAGTCTGTTTTTGTGTATGTGCATGTGTGCAAGTCTTCACTCTTGATAAAGTATTTTGGAATTTATCTAAGTCCAGATTTACATCATGAATTGGTTGAATGAAGGAAGTGTTTGTTTATGTTGACAGGGCAGCATTGTTTCCCATGTGGGGTTGTATGACACAGCTTTACAGAAATACCAGGTGAGATATAAACAAAAATGTACAATATATTATATAGTTAGTGCACATTTCTTGTATATGAAAGTATAAACATTTTACTGATAAATACAAAACATTTCATAAATGAATAGATCGTTTCCACCATATTCATCTGTCAAAAGAATGTTGTGTATATGGTCTGATGATCCAGGCGTGGATTTGAATTACGTAAATTTGGTACGTACAGGGCTGAGAACGGCACAAAAGGTTGGCAACTCTGCTAGACATGCAATGCATTATATTATTAGTGGATGATATATATTCTTTGTGTTCACTAGGGATTTATTCAAATTATACTGATAAATTGAAATCAGTGACAATTTATGATAAATATCTGAATTTATACATCCATTGCACCATTTATCATATAAATAAATTGCAATTGTCAGTCATTGTCTTTTGAATGTTTGTTACATTTTTTCTTTTTTTATTACCTGGTACTTCAGACCTATCATCTTAAAACATGGACAAAAATTAAACTTGGGTGTTACTTCTCATCATAATAGCTTGAATGTATAGTGAAACACAGTCAGGTGAAGATCATTTTCAAATTTGACAATATATTGCAATTTGTTTTTCTTCAAATATCACAATATATAACACAGTGCAGAGCAATATCTCCAAATGACATTTTATGTAAAAGTGTTTTCATAGAAAAGCTACCCCAGGTAATATGTGAATCTTAATTTGCATAGTTTGTTTTACTAGTATTGTAAGGTGAAACATGTTGGTACCCATTAGCACTCACTAAACCTGTGACTCTTGAAATGCTGTACTTAGATATTACATGTGCATTATAATTACTTGGTTTTAATCTCTCTAATGTTAACTCCTGTACGTGAGGCTATACGTATATAGTGTTGACTTTGGTTTCCCCTGTATAATGTTCAAATGAATTTCTGTTCCAACATATTTATTGGGTGACACCTTCATATTAAAATATATTTTTTTGTAGTTGTTATGGACTTACTCCCAGCGGGTCAATATTGTCTCCTGTTCCATCAACCAGACCAGGTCGCTCCTAGGTAAGAACTGACACATACAGGTCACTCCTAGGTAAGAACTGATATCACTAGTGTATGTGCAGATCAGGACACTCACAGGTAGGGATGTCACAATTATTGACAGGGTTGGTATACCACAATGTATTGCGATACAGGACAACTATATTGACTTTAGTGATAACAGGACAGTGTACATTTTGTATTGTGATATTTTTCCTTTTAAGTTATTGAATCTAACAAAGTTTCTCATCTTACTAGCATAGTGTACATGGCAATACTTAGGTTTAACAAGTTCATTAGTTTGACCACGCTGTAAATGCGTACAAGTGTACTTTGACAGTATTATTGTTTAAATCAGGTGTTTTTGTTGCAATTTGTCAAAATATTTCTATTGTTAAACTGAAAGACATTAAATGGAAACAGTGAGAAAACACACATAGCCATTTCTAAAGGCAGTGTATTTGTATCTTCGTAGATATTAAGGCGAACAACCAGGGTGAATTCACTGCTGTTTTTCACTCATTTTGGAGTTCAAGTTCAGGAGAAATATCATTTACTTATTCAGTGTATTTTGTTGAGCCCAGAATGGCTGAATGCCTGTGAAAGTTACTCAATTTCTTAACAAGTTGTGTTTCATTTATTACAGCTTTCACTGTATGTCGCAAGGACACCAGTTCTACAAAGAAAAAAGGTAACCTTGTATGAATGATATTTTAACTTTTTATTACATTTAACAAGTACTGCATGCAATTTTTACAAAAGAAAAGTTTAACACATCATGTTTGTACAATTTTATTCTACATTGCATGGAAAAAGCACAAAAGTCTGAAATTCTAAAATGAAAACTTCTAGACTTTTCATAAATAAGATGAAATGAAAACAAACTCAAAATCACTTTTATCACGTCAAGAATATTTGTAAATCTTTATGAAAACAGGTGATCTCTGAAAATGTCATTTCTTCAATATCGCCATCTTCATTCTGTCTGTTGTCTTCAATGTAATCTCATAATGTTAACTTTTAATCTTTGTTTATCCTGTTAACTCTGACATAACTATGACTGACATTGTATGTGGTAATACAGAAAGATGGGATGTGAAGGTGTATTTGCTACATGTTCGACATGTGATAAGTGTGTTTGGTTATTAAACTGGACAATGTAATTAATATTCGTATCTATGATTTAGATGTGTACACGGCCTTCATCGCCGAGATCCAAGTGTCCAACACTCGTGTGTTTTCCCTCAACCTGGAGCGCTCCTACTTCCTCAAAGTCCAGTTCCTGTACAGCAGTCAAGTCTCGGACAAGGAGTGTCATATGATTGTCATGCTCCACAGGGAATGTAAGTTTTCTATTACTATACAATAGACAGGTCTCCATCTAGAGGTCTCACACATTCACTATTCTCCATTGGACAGGTCAAGGATGTATCACAATGAGTATGAGAGTAATAAAGATCTTCAATGTTAGACAAGTTTCAATACCATTTTTCTTCTGACAACAAAAAATTAAAAAGGATTGAAAGAAAGGGATTTCGGTATAACAAAAATTAACTTTGATTTTTTCACGTTTTATTGTAATACATAGTGATGATAGTTGAATATCTTGTTTATTCTGTATTTCAGCAATTGGTTTATACCGTATACAGTTGGGCCGAGTTGGCGACAAGGGAATTGTAAGTAAAAAGTCAGATACAGTTTAAGTTATGCTTCAGTCTCACTTAAGACTTAATGTGCATGTGAAATCTATATTAAATGGGTTATAGTATGATAAATTAAAAGATTTCGTGTTTTTTTTTATTATTCATTTATACTGATACAACGTAAAAGATTGCGTGGTACCACCTGTCCACACTACATCTCAAATCATCTGCAAATTTTGTTTGCTGATATACACAGTACTGCATTGCTGATATTGATATGTACTGGAAATTAAACTAAGATAGTGGGTTTTTTTCCTACATCCAATTTTTTTGTGACTAGGTGATGCGTGACCAGCCGTCAACGGAACAGCTAGCAAAGAAGTTCTACTGGTGTCAGTGGGACGCTACCCACCAGAGACTGTACTACATACACTATCAGCGCTACGGCAAGGCAGATAACCAACAAGTACAGCCGTACATCTCCAGCGTCCAGTTCTATGACAAAGCACAACATGACAACGTGGTATGCTACAGGTTCATAGGTGTTTCATAGACCAATAACAAATAGTGATTATACTTATCAAGTTATGATTTTCGGAGTCCTGTTAGTTTGACTTTGGTTGTATTGTTCTCTTGTAAATCTGTGAAAGAATCATAACTGAAGCTGAATGAAAGATCTCGGTTATAATTTCTTAAATAGAAAATTCAGTATGTTAGCTTTGTTCTATTTATAGAAACATTGTTTGGTTTGGTATTTTTTCTTTTTTTTTTTTTACATAAACGTCATAAAGTCATCTGAAAAATCATACAGTAGTAAAGCTATTTTCATTGACTGTAATCACATTGTATTTCGTTGCAATTTGTCTGTAGCAGTATACCGTTAATTGTGTTAAATGTTTGCTTTGTTCCAGTTGGATGTGCCCATTCATTTCCCATTCCCACAACTGCGAGCCTCACCTAGGTAAGTACTGGCAGTGTTCAGATGAAACCTTGCTTCTCCTGGCCCATAATCACAGGTGGATTCCTCAAAACCATATGAAACCCTCTAAGATGTTGGTTGAATAGAAATTGGTTGACATGTTTATCAAACTCTTGTGAAGTACTTTCCAAATTATAAAAAAAAATCCACAGTGAACCTCCCAGTAAGAATTCTGTAAAATCTATGACTTTATGTATTTACGCTTTTTTATATAGTTTCAAAGTTGGGGAGGGAAAATGTGCAAGATTTTCTATTTTTCTCGATGGAAACATCCATGATTGATTCTTTAAAAGTCGTGAAATCAACTTTCAACTATCTTGAGTCATATAAAGCTTAAGGTGGCTCCACACTTTCGCAATTAACCAGCAAAATTCGTTGAAACTTTCATACAATGGTTATGCAACTACGTAGAGTTGATTTTATGAAAATCTAAACATTCCGATAGTTTGGGGACTTTTTTGGAAAAAATACAAAAAAAATGAATTTTCGTCAATTTTAATATTTTCCGTTTTTTTGTGTGTGTGGCATTGTTCGGAACAATAACAACAATAATAAAATGAAAAGAAGCATTTCTAATTAACCCTATAACTATTATATTTAACGCAAAATAGGTAACACATGTTACACAAAGTGTTTTTTATTGAATTTGTACGGATAAAAGTGATTATCTACAAGCTAAAAGCAAACAGGACACAACGATCTATACATATAGAATGGGAAATTGAACAAAATATACACAATGGCTTTATAATTAATTTATTTTACATTTTACAATCACTTCAATCCGGGTGAGAGTTATCTTCCTTGAAAAAAATCGGAACTTTTTGCAGAGGGGTGACATTTACACAATGACAGTTGACTCTGTTTACATATAACAAAAATGATGGAAATAAATCAAAAATATGATATCAAAATTATCAATTTATTGTTCTTTAATGGAACCAAATTACCCTCAGTCATGTATACACTTTGGACATCATTCCACAGTCCGCTAACCCACGGTATATTTATAATTACATGTCAGGTACATATGTGACCAGAGGCTATCGCATGGTATGCCGTTCTCACGTGCACTCACACATGCATTTCATAGGTATCTTGATATTTTACAAAACATTATTTTCACAGAGTAAGAAGACTACATTTGTAAACACGATTATAACAGCTTATGAACTCGTGTAAGCACACGATATGCACATGTGAGGTCGGTACGTCCGCATTCCATGCGTTTCCTATATGACCTTCTTGAGGTCGTTTGGTCTCATGTCACTATCTTCCCGTGAGTCTGTTTATGTCTATGAATTGGAAAGCTTTATTCCT